TGGATTTGTTCCTGGTACTCACTGGATATAACTGGTACTCACTGGATTTCTTCCTAGTACTCACTGAATATGTACTTGGTACTTACTGGATTTTTACCTGGTACTCACATGGTACATCCTGGTTATACACCAGAAGTGCTACAGCTAGAAGCTGCTGCTGCTCTTTGCTCTTGAATAAACTTTGTTTTGTAAGACTGATGGTAAAATAAAGGTTTATAAAATGTAGCATTCTGGGGGCATCGATTGTTTTTGCAGCTTTCAGACCAGCTGTGAGCTCATCCGTCCTGTTTAACTTTATTTCTCCAAACTGAGGTTAGAACTCAAAGAGCTATCGACAGCAGGTAGGATACTGATGATTCACAAGCTTTATTCAGAAACACACTTTAATTTGTCCAACTTCATTCTTTAACATAAACAAAGTTTGTATTTTGAGTTTGTTTTAATTCAAAATTTCTGTTAATTTATTCATAACTGCTTATGTTAAATTAATATTATTTTTTTAATAATTATTTCTGCGGCGGCTCATTGGAGTTAAAAACCGGCAGATTATCCCTTTGGTGGTAAACTGTTCAGTGCTGCTGTTGACACCCGCGTCTCATTAGCACATACTTCTGCAAAGTGTAAAAAGAAAGCGTAAAGTGACACGGTATGGACACGGTATCGACACGGTAAACTTCCTCTTCCAGAGCTCTGAGGTCTCTCTGTGTCCACAGCAGAAGTTGATGAGAAGGCTTCCACCTAGCTGTCCTCAAATCAGCGCGAGCAGAAATGAATCGTTTCTCACCTGAGTGGGTGCGCAGGTGGCCGGTGAGGGCGTCCCTCCTGCGACAGGCGTAGCTGCACAGGTGACACTTGAAGGGCTTCTCCCCCGAGTGGAGCTTGATGTGACGCAGCAGGTTGCCCTTCTGGGTGAAGGAGGCTCCGCACTGGCTGCACTGAAACGGACGTTCCCCTGCGAGCAGCACACAGCAGACACGTGAGAACGCGGGAATAGTACTAACACCACGCTAGTATTTACCCAATTCCCTTAAACCAGGGGTTTGTAACTCGCTCTGCGGTCTTTGTAAATAAAAACAACTCGAATCAGAGTCCGTCTGGTCTATAAATTTACTACTTTACCGGTAGTTTCCCCGTCTAAACTTTTTCACTCTGTCCAAGAATGTTCTGCTGCAGAATAATAAATAATAATACAAAACAACTTGGACTGCCTGACACGTGTTTATAATATTATTAAAGATGGATGCAGCGTCTCTGTCTTGTTCCATCCTTCAATCTTTAACACAAAATGTCATTTATTTTTGTATTTTTGGAGCCAGAGAGTTGTGCAGCTCGTTAACAGGCTGTCAATCACAGCCTAACAAAACTTTCTGATTACGCCTGAAATAACTAAACAAAACTAAACATTTCAGTGGAGCTGTATAAGATGAAATGCCTTTTTTGCAGTTACGGAACCATTTTGTTTGTCATTAGCGACACTAGTGGGACTGACGGTGTCGGGGTCAAAGGTCACGTCTGTAGAGATCATGGTCCGGTGGTCGTTAGCTGCATGTTTGCTGCCACAGCCTCTGAGGAAGCACCTCTTAAGACGGTTTTCACCGGCTCGGCGCTGCTGGAGTGAATAATTACAAAATTATTACGATAATTAATAAATTAGTTGATCAGAAGACGACTGAGGGGGAGAAGTCAGACAGTTTGGGTGTTTTAGTGCGTGGTTACGATCAGACTGTGTCTGCAGATAAAAGTGTTTATTTTGAGTTTTAAACTTAGTCTGAACCATCCGTCCGTCCATCCGTCCATCCATCCATCCATCCGTCCATCCATCCATCCATCCATCCTCTTGTTCTGGACTCAGGTCTCGGGGCAGCATCTTGAGCAGGGAGGTCCAGACATCTGTCTTCACGGCCTCTTCCAGCTCTTCTGGGAGGACTTCAAGGTGTTCCCAGACCAACTGAGAGACGTAGTCTCTCCAGTGTGTCCTGGGTCTTCCCCGGGGTCTCCTCCCAGTCAGACATGCCCGAAGCACCTCCCTAGGGAGGAGCCCAGGGAGCATTGTTACAGATGAACCACCTCAGCTGTCTCCTCTGGATGTGGAGGAGCAGCGGTTCTACTCTGAGTCTCTCCTGATAACTGAACTTCTCCCCCTGTCTCTGAGGGAGAGTCCAGCTCTGCAGAGGAAACTCATCTCAACCTCCTGGATCCACGATCTCATTCTTTCATTCTCTACCCATAGAGTTCATGACCAGAGGTGAGGGGAGGAACGTAGACCGACCAGTAAACAGAGAGCTTTGTCTTACAGCTCAGCTCCCTGTTCACTACAACAGACCGGCACAGAGTCCACAACACTGCAGATGCTGCACCAATCCATCTGTCAGTCTCACGCTCCATTCTTCCCTCACTCGTGAACAAAGATACTTGAGTGAATAATTACAAAATTACATCACATCAACTTGGAGCCAGAGTTAGTGCAGCGAGATACTTGAAGTGCTCCACTTGAGGCAGAACCTCGACCTGAAGAGAACAATCAGACTGAGGACCATGGCCTCAGATCTGGAGGTGCTGGTTCATGTCCCAGCTGCTTCACTGAACCGCTGCAGTCAGAGCTGGAGATCACGGCACGATGACGCCAACAGGACCACATCATCTGCAAAGAGCAGAGATGAATCCTGAGGCCACCAACCGGTGGTCGGTGCAGCATTCAATATAATTCAGGAAGATCTTTCTATGCTTTAGTCAATAAATCATGTTTTTTAAGAAGAGTAGATTTCATACGAACAGTAGAACACGGAGGAGTCGGGCCGATGTTCTCATCCTCCTCCTGACATCAGCAGAGTCCTCGTCTGCAGGGTCGCCGGCCTACGAGCGCCTCCACAAGCAGGATGATGGAGCGTCTCCATCCAGCAGCAGGGGGTGGGGGGCTACAGCAGACTGACACCCCGTCTCTCCCTGCTCCCCCTGAACCCGTCGAGTCCCGGCTCTCTGATCGAACACGAGCCTCTCAGACTCAGCCTGCCAGCTCCGTAATGCACCAGCGCTTAGGTCAATTTGATCTCAAATTCTCATTTTTTCCTGCTCTTCGTCTCTTAAATCAGCGCCACATCACCATGCAAATTCTGCCTCATTTGAATAAAGTGAAGAAAACACTTTGTGTTGAGAGCCAGTCTTCCTGATCAGCGCCTCTGGAATCAACCAATATCGAGCCTTTCTGCGTGTTGTGGCATTCTGCGAGAGCGTTTTAATATGTTTCTTTTTTCTCTGTCTCTGAAAGACCCGCCATAAAATAAGAGTCACCGGTGAAGCAGCAAAAATATATAAAGAGGGAAATTCATTAAAAATGCATTTTGGGAGCAAAAAGACTTACCTCTGAATATTTTTCTCTTAAAGCGGGAGGCATTTCATTACGTCTTTTATTCTTCCTTTTTGCATTTACATTAATCTGCCGTTCTTTTCTTCCATTTTGAGTTTCATTAGTCTCTTAAGCTCGATGCTTAAGAGCTTTTCACGCAGGTTCCCCACCACTGGTTTGCCTCCGTCTCAATAGAATATCAATTTAGAATTTTGAAAAACTTTTAATAGCCAGATAATTGTCACTTTGTAGAAAGATCCCTCTTGACTGAAGCAGTTATCCTGTTTATTAACTGGGGGGGGGGGGGGGGGGCTGTACAAAGTTTGTTTCTTGGACTTTTTTTTAAACACGATAACTGATGGAGCTATTAAGAGACGTGTAAAAAAACGAATGAATGCTGATGCTGAGACCTGATTTCATGCTCGACAGGAGAGGCTGAGCGTGCCGTTCCCTCCAGCTACGAGTTCCTTTAGGGGAGATTCATACGGCCGGCGTTAATACGTCTGTTAGCATAATATTTAATGAACCACTGAACGCATTTTAATTAAACTTTCAGGGAAAATTCATCTGCATGCATCTATAAAGCTGGTCAGCTTTTGGTGTCAACCCGATCCAAAATGGCCGTTACAGCCAACTTCCATCCATCCATCCATCCATTATCTTTACCCTCTTCTTCCTTTTTGGGTCGCGGGGGTCACTGGTGCCCATATCCAGTAGTCACTGTGTGAGAGGCGAGGGACACCCTGGACAGGTCTCCGGTCCATCACAGGGACACATGGACAGGTCTCCAGTCCATCACAGGGACACCTGGACATGTCTCCAGTCCATCACAGGGACACATGGACATGTTTCCAGTCCATCACAGGGACACCTGGACATGTTTCCAGTCCATCACAGGGACACATGGACATGTTTCCAGTCCATCACAGGGACACCTGGACATGTCTCCAGTCCATCACAGGGACACAGAGACAAACAACCATTCTCTCTCTCTCACCTAGGGACAATTTAGAGTTACCAATCAGCCTAACATGCATGTTTTTGGTCTGTGGGAGGAAACAGGAGCACCTGGAGAAAACCCACGCATGCACGGAGAGAACATGCAAACTCCACCCAGAAAGGCCCCGGGCTGGGATTTGAACCGGTGACCCTTCTCGCTGAGAGGCGGCAGCTCTACCACCTGCCCGATTGTGCCGCCTGCCAACTGAACTTAAAAACACAAAAATGTCTAAAAGTCAGTCACATCTACAGATGCTGACCTTAAAATTGGTGTGGTAGTAGCTGAGACTGAACACGTATTCTGAACCATTATTTGGGGTCAACCCTTTTTGTCTGTTAGCAAAATATCTCCTGGACCTCTACTGCCAAACACTGATAACGTTTGGTCCAAATCAAGATGGCTGCCACAGTCAAATGTAAAACACAAACAGATGAAGCCCAAGCAGTTTCCCTGCTGTGGTAGTAGCTGAGAGTCATTCACACAACGTCCTCTGACTCTGAGCACGTTCACGGTTTTATCAAAGTCGGATTCCATCTTTTCTCCACCTCAGAGTGAAACTGGACCATGACAGGCGGCAGGTGACGGTCAGTGTTTCTGTACGCAGGTGTTCACATTCTGATTGTGTGGCGAACATGTCAGAGACTTTAATGTATGGGTGCAGAGGAAGGGCAAGAAACATGGCAGATGGCTTACCGGTGTGGCTTCGCTTGTGCACCATCAACACATTGGGGCCAATGCAAACTATCCCACAGATATCGCACTTGAGCTTCCCGTTGGGCAGCCGGATCCCGCCAGCCAAGGAGAAGGCCTTAGCTTCAGGGCTCGGCTGGGAGCCGTTCACCTTGGCTCCCGAGGAATCGACCACGCGCAAGTCTTCCGCGCACTCCTCCTCCACGCCATTCATGTCACAGGCCAGCCCATTCTCCTCATCACTGCGAGCCTCAACTTTAATGTTACAGGCTGGAAAAGAGGGCAGGGGAGGGAGGGGAGGAGGGGGGCCATGATTTAGAAAACCAGCATGGTTCTGTCGTCATGTCAAAGTTTCAAAGACGTCTCATTTATATAAATAATAGTTCAGGAAAATGGTGAACATTTTGCCTCTAGGTTTTAAGAAAGGTTACAAACAGTATCTTACCTGTTGCAGATAGCTCTTTGAACAACCTCAGTTTGGAGAAAAAGTTTAATTATAGCAGGACTGACGGGCTAAAGGCTAGTCTGAACAGAACAAAGTAAGATTGCTCCGGTCTAAACAATAAATAATGCAAACACACGCAGTTTAATAAACATCTTACACTAACGTCAGTTTCACATTCCATGGTTTATACATAGAACCCTGTGCCTTTATCTGCAGCAGCAGCTAGCTGTAGCACTTCAAGGGTCACTTCCTGTAGGAGTTTCATAAAACTACTGTTCAAATAAACATGTATTGCAAAATTACATCAGATAAGATAAAACTTTATTGAACCCACAGGTAATTGTTGTGCCAGAGTTTCAATACAAAGGAGTTTACTACTGTACTAGCTAAGTAATACTAGATGGTAGTAGAAGGTAGCTTATTGCATAACTTATCAGCTGTACTAGAAGCTAAATACTACTACTAAGTAGTTGTTTATAGACTGGCAAATATTATTTATTGCTTCTGCTAATCGCTACAAATAATAATAATAATAAGTGCGGTGTGTTGTCATCATCGTATGTTCCCATACAATAGTTCTCTGCATTTAACCTATCGCACCTGGGATACACCCAGGTGGAGCAGTGGGCAGCTGTGTAAGGGTGCCTTGCTCAGAGACACTACGACATGTGGGAATGACTGGGGATTGAACCTGGGCCTTTCAGTCCCGAGCCGGCTGCCCTGCCTCTACCCCCTCTCAGCCCAGAACTACCCGAGTATGTTGTAGCTGCTGTTTGTATATAGCTTTACTACAGTACTACTAGTTAACAACTCATATCTTGGTAGTATAAGCCAGTAATTGTAATTAGCACGTGGTGCATAGATGATCCACCTTACTACTAGTTAACAGCTACTAATGGCCATGTATTACTAGCTAGTATTAGCGCTTAGCTTAGTCACGCATACGTTCACTACTTTACAGCTAGCTAACAAGTGCTTATATCTAGGCAGTAGAGCTAGTTTAATAGTTAATTATTAGTACGTAACTTTTTTACTGTACTTCTGGCTAACGACTCCTCTTATCCTGCTAGCACTAGCTAGTTGTAATAGTTAGCCATATATACTGTACTACTAGCTAGGTAGTGCTAGCCAGTAATAGTAGCCTAACTACGGTACTACACTTCTTGCTACGGTAATTACTGCTAGTTATGTAGCTAGTAGAGGTTAGCTGTTGTATAACCTACTAAACATGCTTGCATATTAAGTGACTCTTAGCTCACTGTTAGGCATTTTCATCTGCTTTTATTACTATAAGTGGCAGAAAAGTAAAGATTAAATATTAACTTGAACTACTTTGAACATTAGAATATTGGGTTTGTTTTAAACTGTTAAAATCTGCTTTGGAAGTGAGTCTCCGCTAAATGTGAGTCTTTGTCGCCTTAACACGACTCCAGTTTTCAAAAGGTCTAAACAAATTTTGAAACGGTTCAAACAAACGCGCTTGTTTAAACCTTTACACGAGTTAAGCAGACATTTCTAGAAATGATTCAAGATTCTCGTCCAAAACGACCCAAGGTTGTACTAGAAGTGCTGCTTCTAGATGCTGCTGCAAAAGTCCTCATCGTTGACCCCGTTCAGTGAAGCCGACGCCGGTGGACGTCTACGAAACATTTGCATAAACTGCGTTAAAGTTTGTGATTGGAGCCGTTTCAGCTGCAGCATCAGTCCTGTCAGAATTAAACTCTTGAAATACAAACTCATCATGTTCAAAGATTTATCTACAACAGGTAAGATTCTTGTTGCTTATAACCTTTTAACAGAACCCCATTGAAACTATGCAGAATATCCCTTTAATGCTGAGACATGACGGTGCCAGACCTTTCAGAACTTTTTTGACCGTCTATGAATGAAGTCATTTTAAATATAACTTTTAGCATTTATTTTCATCATTTTATTCGACATTGCTCTAAAACGGTATCATAAATAGATGTTTTATTTTCATGCATTGTCATTTATTCTTTTGTTCTACTTTTCAAACTTACTTTAAAACGAAACAGCTTGAGCTCTTAAAAGTCCCCATGAGTATCAGTCAGCTGTGGTTTGGCTTTAACTGGAGAAACTCACGATGGTTCAGTTATTTTTTCTGCTGGACAAGGTCAAGTGAATGAAACTGTCTGACGTGTTCAATACCGTAAAATAGGAACAAATCATAACTATAGTACAAAGAGTGAAAATACTCTGGTAGTTTTTGGTTTATTGGGGCGACGTCGTGCACCTGACGGCAGAGGGAGAGAAACCTCTCGACACCGAGCACCTTCTTCCTGCGTCTCGACGTCTGATCACTTGTGACATTTTAAAAACTGCAAGACGTCGAGTCAAATCTCGTTTTAGTCTTTTTCTTTCTGTGAATCCAGCCGAACAAAACACCAGCCGCCTCCGCAGAAAGAGGCCGTTTGTCTTTTGGCTGAAATGACTTCACACGGGTGGATGGCGTGTCTGCGACGAGATGAAGAAACACGCCGATCATCTCTCACCATCGCACTTCAGCAAAACCAGTGACAGCTAGATAAACAGGAAACAGAGATACAGGAAGTAGAGTGAAACTAGGGACGAGCGCGGCGTTTATCACAGCCAGCAAAGACAAACACACGGCTCCTCGTCGCTTACACGAGAATGTAATCACTCATTTCCTAACTGCTGCCTTTTGACACTTCCAGAGCAAACTTTCTGAAAAAGATTTAAATGTGATGTTTGTGGAGGCATCACGAGCAACGACTCCCAACCAGGGAACTTTTAGAAACATCCTGATGATGCTCAATAATCCAGGTAGAAATATCTAAAAAAGTTGAGTCAGCTCCTCTGGATGATTCTTCTTGGTTGAAACATTTTGTCTTATCCAAAGGACTTCTTCAGTCTGAGGAGCTGCAGCAAACCGAGTCTTATAAATAGCACCTTCTCATGGTGGATCAACCATCCAGAAGTAGCTGTTCACATGATGAAGGACCATGAGCCTAAAGTGCCCTGATGGCTGCTTGCTATTCACAGAGACTGAGTGATTCTAGCAATAACAGCGTTGTAAGAGGGAACTTTCAGAAACGTTTAACAGAACTGGCGGGCGGCGCAGCTGCCGACCTGTGGTCTGATTTCCCCATGCCTCCACCTCTGTTTGTTCAACCGAAGAGGAAGAAGTGGAAATCATGAAATATAGGAATCTATGGGAAAAGGGGAAGCTTCAGAAAGAGGGCCTGTCTAACTGAAATACCAAGAATTATGGAGAAGTGACAGAAAGGGAAGCATGGGAAAGGACTTGTAAAACAGCATGTAACTGAAACTTTTGGTTTTTTTTTAACGGAGAGGCACGGAGAGAGCAGGAGGTGAAATGAAATGTGTTGGATCATGATGGTTTTTAAAACCAAATTCCCTGAGCTCACTCGTCCAGCCTGGTGCAGAAGCTCCTCTGCACAAGGACCACGCTCAGTTGGTTTAAGATGAGGACTAGTGTGACTACACTTTATAAATTAGCTTCCTAAACATCCCATTAATGAGATTATTAGTGAACAGAAAAGAGGATTTTAACAGAAGTCTTTAGTGTTGTGCTGTAGTTCCTCCATAGCCGGTCTGCGTCAGAACCTTTCAGCTCAACTCGCCTCTGATTTTACCGACATGAACGAACGCACCGCAGAATAAAGACCTCATCACACATATGCTAGATTTGTAAAAAGAATAAAACATAATTTATATTATTGGTTGATAAACTAACAACTGGCCTGCAGAGAGATTTAAAATTAAATAACTTTATCTTTGTTTATTTTAATGTTATTGTTGTAATTAACCTTTTATTGATTATGAAACTCCAGCGCTTCGTTTTTTTACTCTAAGTTTACGATTTAACTGGTTTTAAAACAACATCTTGCAATTTCTCTACTTTAAAATAAGTGAATGTTTTTTACTCTGTGGGTTTTGCTTTTGGTGATAATTGGTCGACTCTTTTCTTCAAAGACTATTTCCAGGTTTTAAAATTGGGCCAATGGAATTGTTCCGGTGTGAATGTAGACGGAGTCCTCTGGTCACGGACCTTCTGTGAAGTTTAATCTTCTGTGTCACGGAGACTTAGCTGACGACTTGCAGAACATAACGTTAACAGAACTCGTTCTGTTGTTGTAAAACACACAACCTATTTGTTCTCAGCGGTGGTGTAGTCTACATTTTTGTAGTGGGTGTACTGTAAAAAGTACAGCGGTTAGTACAATGTAATCGTCAATTTATTTTGAGTTTTAAGCGTATTGAACATTTCCAAATTTCTCTGTTATAGTTGAATAAATGAACAACAAACTTTGTACAACAGTTGGCTTTGTATTAAAAACATGTATAATTTATAAAACAGTATTAAAGCTGAACATGTTCAAGTATTAAGTAGTAAGTACAGAAGTATACAGTCATTTGCTGGATAAGTGAATGTAACAAACGAGCTCTGCAGACGGATTGTTACAGAAGTGTTTAACGTATCGATGACACGTGTCTAATGTCACGTATCACTGGACACTTTCAAATGGGTTTGCTCCGTATACCTGCATACTGGACTACACCACTGGTGGTCAGGGATTGTGATGTCGCTCAGTGAAGCCGGATCAACTTGGCGTACCGTTTATATACGATAAACCTCGAGAACACGACTCGTCAGGTGGTTATAACTACGTTCAACTTCAACACCCACGTTTTATGAGTTTGTTCAAAAGATGTACCAGAAAAACAAATATTCATAATAAATGTGTTTATCTCAGGGAACTATTTGAAATACAAGGTTTGGGTTTCAGGTTCTGAACCTGCAGGAGAGCTCAGATAGGAA